TATTAGAAACAAGTGCATCGCTACTAGTAACAAGTGCCACGCTAGTAATAACAATGTTTGCTACCCTTGTGGCTTCGAAGCTGGCGAGGTGAGCTGTGGAAGCTTCGTTGTGCGGCGTTTCTGTGGAACGGAGCTGGAACGCGTCGAACGAATCGTCGGGGCGAATGCACGGAAGACGAATCGACTGTCGACTGTCGACCAAAGGTGTCTAAAGAAAGGCATCGAAAAATGCTTTTTGATAGAGGTTGAAAGAGTAGAGATTTGGAGTATATGGAGATTTGTAAAGAACAATCGAAAAAAAATAATGTCTATATCTTAAAGAGTAGAGATTTTGGAGATACATATTGACAAATTGTTGGTTGGAACCAAGAATCGAAAAAGGAGAGTTCTCTACATCAGAAAAAGATACCAACTTGAAACACTGAACTGAAAGTACAGCTGTTTAATCCACAGTATCAAAAGTATTCATCATATAGGAAAAAGTCTGACAGGAGCTGTAGTATTTCTAGGGATAAGTATGCAGATGTAGAGGTCTCCGGAGGTTTCTATATAGAGAGAAGTGTCGTAATGGGTAAAGACTCTGACTCTTTGAAGCAAGTTTTAACAAGTTTTGACAATCAGAAAAAAGAGTCGACAAACAAAAAGACCTGACGAAGTGAGACCTCAGTCTCCAAAAGGGAGATTTCCACTACACTGTCCAAAAGTTGCAAAATGTTGCCAAACAAAAGGCCGTGTAGAGGTAGGAGGTAGCTAGAGGTAGGTAGAGGTAGGTAGCTAGTAGAAGCTAGGTAGCTAGTACCTACAAGTGAGCTACTACGTATGGACGCAAGATAGCTCACGCTTCTTCAAGGAAGCTCCGACCGCCGCCCTAAATGCGGCGGGGGGAAGCTTCCTTGAAGAAGCGCACGCACTATTCATTTGATTCCTAGATTTTAGGGAAACTTAACTATCGAAGGGGGAGGTAGGTGGCTGGTAGGCCAATAAGTAGCTAGTAGAAAGGGGTAGCTACTACTAACTACCTGACGCAGGAAAGCTTCCCTGAAGAAGCACTCGCACTATTTCATGTGGTTCCTAGATTTTGGGGGGAAGACTCGCCTCAAAAGACTCCAAAAGGGCCGCCACTGGAAGCTACCCTTTGCCACATCACAAATCATCACACTACACTCCACCATATCACACACACCTACTGTATATATATATATATTAAATAGATAGATCTATATAATATGTCACCACGTCACAACCCAGCACATGAGACAGCATCACGCCACCCTTCATCACGTGACAAGTCACCACACCACTTCATGAAATGCATTCCTTTAAGGTGACAAGTCATCGTATGTTTTGAAACATCCGCCCACCGGTCCTGCCAGGATCTACCTGGCAGTAATTAGGACACTCATACGCGACCAGCTCCTCATAAAGGACTACGATATTTCAAAAAAGCTTGGAAGATGTTATTTCATGAATTGGAGAAACCTTTAATAAAAACACCAGCAGTCCAAACATCTGCCAATTCCGTTCCCAGGCAATTTGTGACACCACACAGTCACTCGCGGACGGCGGCGGTCGGTCGTGCCTTACGGAACACACTTTGAGAGAAACACAGCTCAACTCCCGACACAGCTAAACAAGAACCCTTCTCTACGCACTAGGGTAAAATACAAGTTGAATAAAAACTGCATTGAGTTCTTGTACTTACAAATACGTGATAATACATTATAATACATGAGCAACCAGCCTGATCCCAAAATTCGCACTGCTCAATCCGCAGCTGCTTTCGTAGCTCAGGCTCTCCATAGGCACAGGGCCATAAGTACGGTCGAACGAAAAGCAAATGCAGCGGGGCCCAACCTGACATGACAAAGGCAGCCTGACTCTTTCGAAGTGGAAAACAAATCGGCAAAAAAAAGGTACTGCAGATTGGCCACATTGCACAATCACGGTCAAGGCCCACTTCTTCAACAAAATGGACGTCTCCCAAGACCTCGGGTGACTAACAGCATCTCACAGCTACACCAACTTAGAGCAAAAATATCTGGATCTGGGCGTCTCCTTTCGCTTTAAACAGTGCTCAAGAAATATTGTTGTTAGTTCAAAAAAAAACGAACTAACGTATACCATATACAGATATGCTACAATAGTTGCAGTGTTTTGCTACTTGGCGATCGAAACACCATAGGATTCTCCGCAGTGAGAAATATGTGAACATGATGTGGTTCTGGAATAGTACTTAGGACCTGTCCACCCTCCTGAAAGGCAAGGGCTGCTTGTTGATCTGCTCTTCGTGAAAGCAATTGCTGCTGGGCGGTTAAACACATGGATACCAATCTGTTTGTCCAGCGACTAGGATTGCTTCGACTCTCCGTCGATTCCGGGCAACGGAAGAGCTTGTCTCAAAGTCACGATTCTTCTCGATGGTTCTCCGCTTCAGTGAGAGCATTGGCGACCAAACGGAAGAGGTGATAACTCAAAACACTGGCCTCGGTCGCTTTCCAAAAATGTCATAGAAATCTTTCGGAATCATCTCAGACCATGTGTGTCTCATTGTTCTTTGCCTCCTTTTCTCTCCCTCGACATAATCGCACCCAGCAGTTCAAGAAGGCACATGTTCACAGGATTTGAGCATTTGAGCTTCTAATTGCTCTTTGTCTTTGTCTCCCTGTGTCTCTGTGTCTCCCTCTGAACTCAAACGCTCGACGAAGGTGCCACAGAGAACATCGCGCCCAAGGAAGCGTAGTTCTCAGTGGCCACCTGAACCTCACGCGGAAAGAGCGAAGGAGAAAGAGCAAATATCGCAAAACAGAAGCGTAGTCCTTGTTCTGTTCGTAGTAAGAATGCTCCGTTCGTAGCGATGCCAGGAGCCCTTGCTCCTAGTAGCGTTCTTACTCCTAGTAGTGAGGCCAGGAGCGCCCCTAGTAGCGTCCTTGTCCAAGTAGCGATGCCCTTTGTTACCAGTCTCGAAAGAACAAAAGAGTGTGTCACAAGTGTTTCGCATCCTCCCACATCACGAAAACGGCCACGTGTCCTGATCTGTACGGAGGAAGAAGGCACCGAGGACGCCGAAGACGAGGGCCCAAAGGCACAGAAAGCACAAGTTCACCTGAGATCTGTACCAAGCTGAGCTTGTGACGAGCCTTTGATCAAACGATAACATCAAAGGCTCAAAACCTGTCTCCAAGGCTGACAAGTTGCAGCGATGACACGTGCTTGGAAAAGCCGCCTGAATCGGCAAAAACGAATCCATGTGTCAGGAAAGGAGATTGAAACGACAACTAGATTGGAGGCCATCGCTATTAGGTTGGAGGCCATAGCTATTAGGGTGTGCCGGACGGTAGGAATCATTACAAGTCAGACTGGATATTTTGCCTGCCAAATCCACCTCGGACCCCGCCCAATCGAGAGAACAAGAATATCAAAGAAGTCCAAGAGATGAAAAAGGAAGCGATGCACTTGTTCCTAGTAGCTTCTTGTTAAGGCACTTGTTACTAGTAGCGATGCACTTGTTACTAGTAGCTTCTTGTTGGTGGTTGGGTCTTGAATGGTCTTGATGTTCCTTTCAAGGGGCCTTTCCTTCCGCTTTCCATCTCGATTTCTTGGATATTCTTGTTTCATCGCTACCAGTCCTGAAAGAAACACTCTGCCCGCTGCGCCTGTTGCGGTGCACGAAAGCCAATCGCCCGTCGACACGGCTGACCTGACAAATTCAGCTAAATTCACTAAGAATGGACAAGAGACCCCACAACTGAAAGAACCGTTCAAGCACACCTAAACCCATTTGGAAGCATCATCTTGAGAGATGCTACGAAACTAACTGGCTAATTACAGGTGAGTTACTGCTAGCTTTCCACGAAAGGAAGGCCGCGTCAGTGCTCGACGCCAAGGATGACATCCCCATTGCCGAGCAAGCCGCTTCTCCTGCAAAGCTTCGAATTTTAATTGAGAAGTCCAACAGCTTTGTCCTTCTCGGTTCAGCATTCTAGCTGTGAACGTCATGCCAAGTTTGCATTAACACGCTCAAACCAGCACCAAGCCCTTTAAGCACCAAGACTCAAACCCGAGCTCTCCGAGTTGAGCTAAAAGACTTTCCTGAAATGGCACCCTACTTGAGAAGAACAAATTACTAGCAATGGCCTCCAACCTAAAATAACATGTTGTTTCCGTTTTGTGCCCTACTCTTCTTCAGGTTTCCAGAGCTCTTGAAACATATGTTCTGTGAAGAGTCCAGTCTCGGCAGGCATGAAACTCACACGTGGAAGCCCAAGTTGCTACCACCCTTGTTTGTTTCGTGGCTTGCAGGCTGGCTAAACTCAAGGCACTATACAATATTCATCTTGATTAAAGCCTACAAAAAGCGCATGCCCTGTGCATCCCTGTGCTAACTCTGCATTCCATGCTCAGTTTCTGCAATTTGTTATCGCTTTTTGGACTCCTTTACAAGGTTTCGTTGTGTTTTACCTTTCACGGGTACCAGTATGTGAAGACTCAAGTGCTGAGCGGGTGCCGGTCGCTTTTTTGCAAATCAATTCCCAAACGATGACTGCTTCACGTGGCTGCAAGTGACTTCGATCAATATGTGAAGAAAACACCCTTTGGACTTCACCAGGAAGCAGGACTTGGGACAATTGAATTCACCAGACTTGATAAAAAGGTTGGAGGCCATCTCACAGCGCTCTGCGCGCAGTGTCAACAAAGTGTCACCGCTTCGGATGTCCTGGCGATGCCAGGATTCAATCACACATTGACCCCAAACCGTGGTGGTCAGGCCCACCATGAGCGACCTCAAACCCGGTCGGGAGAAACCGGACGGTGCACGAATAAGCTTCAAAAGGCTATGATCATTTACGGTCGGACGCTGATGGTGACTACACTACTCTAGACTCTTTTCTATGCTCTCATTCTTCTGATCTTTCCAGTTTTCCTGTACACTGTAAAACAATATTGGTTGCGTTGGTTCAACTCAAACAAAAACAGTTGAACAAAAAAAGATGGGACGACGAGACACCCAACGGTGCGTCCGAGGCACCATAGTGGCCAGCGGCTTCGCGAGGCATCCAAGTGACTAATCTCTGAGACCATCTCGTCCAACAGAAACAACGGCTTCTCCTGAGAGAAGAAGAAAGAGAAGGTTCGGCATGTTTGTTGTGCCAAAGAGTGTAGAATATACCAAGGGCATTCTGAATCATTCTGAGATCAGGAAGTTGTTCAAGTTGCCTATAGCGGCAAAAACTGCACATGGCTGAACGACCAAACAGCTGGAGAAAACCCGAGATCTCTTCATGTTGACTTCTCTTTTGCTTTCCTTCTTCGTTTTCTGAACTTGCTTCTGCAATATTGTATGCGTTTGTGTTTGACTTCTGCGTTGTCACTGAAAACTAGCGTCAGTGTCCCGTCCTGTGCAACAGCCTGGACCAAATGCTTTGCCCAGTCCACACTGTAGACGGCCAACAGAGGCGCCACAAGCACCGACAAAGCGAAACCATAGGAGAACAAATGTTGTAGAAAGGCAAAGTAGAAACCTGCCAAAACCAACGCAAGCAGGTGCAAAATGTGCAAATGTTTGGGCAATAACGTTTAGAACTTCATAACAACTACATGAGGTGTCTGTCTTTTTTGACTTCTGCAATATGTTATAACTGAGTCACAACTCCTTCATGTTGCTCCTTTCCAAACTCATGTTTGATGGAACTCCCCGGGGCCCGCGCCGATCTGCTGTCCAAAGTAATGCTGCAAAATGGACGGCAGTTTTTTGTCCTTGAAGAAAGGTCAGAGAACAAATTAAGTATGTTAAAAAGGCCTCCAACCTAATAGTGATGGCCTCCACCCTAGTAGCGATGGCCTCCAACCTGATAGTGATGGCCTCCAACGTTAAACAGATATGTTCTGTTTTTGTATAATTTCAATCCAAGAACGACAATGTTGTACAATTTATTGTTAGGAAACCGATGGTGTTTTGAAACCTGCGTTCAAGCAATGTCGAGACCGCCGGAGTTCTTCAGTGAATGTTGAAAGACAAGACGCCACAACTCCAGAGAGCAAACCATGCTGGAAAAGTGCAGAGCTCGGACGGCCAAATTTCATCTGCAGCCTTTGAAAGGTAGCATCTCGCGGCTCCTCTGATCCACTTTGACATGATGATGTGACATCTTACTTTTGCTTTGCAATGCACAAGCAAGCTCCTGCATCAAGAAGTAAAATGAAAAACCCTTGGGGAAGTCTCCTTAGGTTGGCACCGCCTCCATTAAGCCAATGCAAAAAATTGCTGACAAAATGTGTCCGGCTAAAATTGAAATTCATGACAAGTTTCTTTGTACGTGGGCACTACTGGCAGCCCTTGCCACACGACTCGCCCCAAAATTTCGGCATGTGTGCAGCAAGCCTCAAGGTGTTTGGCAATTCCAGGTCAGCTACAAAATATTGCTCCATCCGCACTACGCAAACTTTCCTGTTGAACCTCTGTAGTACACCTACAATGAAGGTCATGCAGCCGGGATGCAATTGTAGAACTTTGGTTTTTTCCATTGATCAAGCTTGAGACCTGGTCCCATAGTGCCTACAGCACCAGGTAGGTCCTCAGAGACCGAAAGCGTCTCAGACGAGTGCCGATCATTGCATGTAGGACCAGCAAGATCTTCAGTGCACCAAAAATAACAAGTGTTCAATTCTAGTTTCTTCGGTGGACTGGTGGACCCCTCATCTAGTGACAAATGTAGTCAATGTGGTCCCTCTTCCAAAGGTCATTAGCGGCACTCCTGTCCGTCGTATCCTTTGAAATTGCTTGCATTTATCATTTGCCAGCAGATCAAAGAAAGAATGATAGAATCGTGTTTTCTCTACAGACATCTACAGTCATTATTCTCCTATCGACAGTCACATGTTTCCTTTTACTGATTTCCACGGAGTCAGGGGTTCCTGTCAGATGTTTCGAACAATTGCTCTGTTACAACAATTGACCAGCCATAGCATCTCCTTTGGCGTATTCTGTTACAACAATTACAACATCATTTGGTGTTGCATTGATTGATTTTGTAACACCCCGCTGCACGGGGCGTTTGGCTCCTATTGCGCGGTTGCGTCAGGGCTTGGGCATTCAGACCGAATGTACAAAGGGCATCGCTACGAACGGAGCGTCCGGACGCTACTAGGGGTGCTCCTGGCCTTACTACTAGGAACAAGAGGACGCCACTAGGAACAACGGCATCGCCACTAGGAGTCGGGCTTGGTGTGTCTTGCCATCAGAAGAGCTTCCTAGTTGCACTCGGAAACCGTGCCCTGCTGTCTGTGCTTAGCAACATGACGGACAATAGATGAACCACAATGGATGAAAGCTCATGTTCCAATAGATGAAAGTGTGTGCGCACTTCTGGGCACTATCCTTACTCCCTTTCGCTATGTGTGACGCTTTTCCAGACCGCCTGTCACCATTTTAAATTCTAAAGGAGACTCAGAAATGTACAAGCCCGGTAAATCAAAGGAGTTGAGGCCCACAAAATGGTCTCATGACCGACAAAAGATCACAAGCAGGGGTCAGGTCGCCAATTTGCTTGATGAGTGGCATCTCCCACTAAACTCAGAAGCATTCGCAGTCTTTGTGAAGGAGTCAAAATGCTAGACAGCGCTGTCTTGCCTGCATCATTATCATCGCAAACGGTTCCACATTGATGCTTCAAACATATGCCCGTGGCAGTCGATTTCTCTTGACCCCTGAAATGCGTCGCCGGGCCTGACTTCCCTACCAGCGGGTAGTGCTGGAACACGCGTCCAGGGATTTGAGGACAAAAACCTCAACTCAAATCCAAAATCCAGCTCTGGTCTTCATCTGGTCCACTTAAGTGATCTTAAGTGATTTCTTGCCTTCCGCTAAGTGGCGCATGTGCAAATCCTCCCAAACATCTTCTAGCATCTCAGGTGGACTTTGCATTTCTCCGCGAGTGTCAAAGGACTCGCAAGGGTGAATTTCCTAAGTCTGCAGGTGCTAAACTCCCGAGATAAATTGAGGCTCCAACAAAATCGAAGACGATGAATGAGATTCCAAGCTTCTTCCCAATCACGCACCTCTGAGCGCAGCGCAAGCAACATACCTCAGTCCGTTTCACCAAGGTCTTCCTGTACAAAGCCGGGGATCCGGCGTCCTGTGCAGTCCAAGCGACCCAAATCCGAGGCATATCTTTGTGCCTCGTCTGCATCGAGTTGCAAGTCGATGGGATAGAAACTCAGATTCCTCACAACAAGCAGTCTGGCAGACAGCATCTTGATCTTCCAGATGTTTAATATCCCAGAAGAAATCTCATGACTTCAAGAAGGGAGGACTCGGTGATTCAGCCAAATGTCGCTTGCGCCGTCTCCTCCGGCAATCGCACCAAGCAGAAAATGAATTCCCCAGCTGCGGAAGAGCCAAGGCGGTAACTAAGACCTGGTCGTGTCAGTTGTGGTTCCAACCGTGGTCACTGGTCCAGCGGTAACCCATGGACATGAACAAGCAACTATCCAGTGTCACACACTTCGCACCTGTTTGTGTCTTCAGCTAAATGAGTGAGTTTCACAATTTTCCTGCGTGCTTCGACTCTACTATTGTCATGTTGGCGATGTACACATCTCTATTTGAAAAAATAACGTGTCATCCTTGTGCAGGGTCCATGTTCTATCCTTCTGACTTGCATTTTGCCCACTAAACAAACTAAATAGTAGTAAATAACAAGGTGTCTAAACTTGCAACCTAACCAAAAAAGGCACCGACATCAGTACCACAATGTTCATGACAGTCACAACCGAAATGTGTCAAGAGAAAAACCTTCAGCCTTCAGCAGGCAAGCAAAGCGCAGTTTTCATGTGTGCAGCGTGGCATAGCGTGACACTGGAAAGATTTTGTCGTGATGTGCAGTTATTGGTTGAGAGTAGTGATTGCCCTTTGCTTTTTCGGTACTCCTCTGTACTATCCTTAAGCCGTTACCCTTCTACTGCGTGTCTGTGTATTTTCACTCGACTGCTCTGTTCTTTCTCCTCTGCTCTCCTGCAGTCTTCTTTACCCTTCTTCGGTTCTCAGCCCTCGCACTACTTCTCTCAACCAAGTGCAAATGTTGCATTTCCCCCTCATGGTCCACATTCGAAGGGATTTCCATTGGGGTGCAACTTGTGGTTGCACTCAGCTAGCGCCGCACGGTGAGCCAAGCCAACACTGAGGAAACTCCAAACCAAACCGCACCGCATAGCCTCCTCGACATTGAGCTTGCTTGCATGCGCAGTGGCAAAAGTGTGAACCCCGTGTGTATCTTGCATGTTTAGAAAAACACATTGTTTTGAACCTCCTTTCTCTGGTCCCGTCAGAGGTTCTTAGTATTATGTCAAACGACGTGCGTGTTCTTGTCCTGATGAGTGCTTCCGATATGTTCCGTTCATTCTTTATCGCACTTCCATCTTAGATTAGGAGACAATTTAGAAACTCGTGACGATAAATGAGGGACATGAATCATGAACTACATAATTGGCTCGTATCCACCCTGAATATGTACAGCATGTTTTTGGTTGTATCTGGTTTACCGTGGTGGGAATCACAGTCGAAGGATCCTCCACCAAATCTCTCTTACATGTTCCATCCTAAACCCTATGTACCAAACCTCACAAAACCGAAGATGACAAGGACAGGATGATGGTAAATGTCCGTTGAGGATCGACCTGGTTCTGTGAGTGAAGATGACCAAGCCGCTCAAACAGCATGCAGCTGACAACGACACCATACGACACCGCCGCGACGGTCGCGCAGCACCGCCATGCACCGCCTGCATTGCGCAGCCGCTCCAAGAGTTCGCCAGGACTCAACCCACCGTGCTCATCACTGTCGCTCTCTTCCAGCGTCCAAGAGTTCTCCAAAAGTCCATCTTGAGAGCAGAAACAAAAAGCGTAATTAAAAATGTAGAAAATCATTATCTTCATGAGCTCAAGGACCAATTTGCTCTCAAAATCTCCCAACTAGAAAGGTCTGATTGCCGTGTTTCGTTGAATGCGAAAAACTGAAGTAGTCCTCGTCTGCCCGGATCTTCAATTGTTGCACCTGGCCCAATTTGGGGAGGCACGTGCCTGGAGGGTCGTGGTTTCAACAAAAACGAGCAAGGACGAAGGACCTCTCTTTCCATCGTTTTCCTTCTACGACGTGCCGTTCAAGCGCCCTGACGCAGACTCCGCTTCTCATATTCATGTCAAATATGCCATGAATTTGTCAATACGCTTAGTGATAAGTGATAATTTGCATTGATCTGTACCTCAAGAGCAGGTACTCAGCATCCATACTATCTAGAATGGGGTCCTTGAAACCTACAGTAACACTTGACTTCGTGCAAGGCGATGTGCATTGTCAACCTTTGCCTTTCGTGAGTTCCCCAGAGTTCCCCAGGACTGGCATTCTACGAACGAAGTTCCTGCCACGACGACCCCTGAGTCTCCACACGTTGGTCATGGGATCCTTTGCCTCAAAGACCAACACCAGTGTGGCGCCCCAGTCCTCAAACTTGGCAGGGCAACATCTTGTCAAAGTCCCATTTGGGGACAACCACTTCCAAAAGAATAATACGCTTCGCAATGCTTCGCAGCTCTGGAAACCATGTTTGGGAGCTTCATGACTTCAGACCTTCAGCCAAAAGTCTCCATCATTGGAGGTCTCGTCCTGTGATTTGCGACAGGCGGTTAGGAAGCTGCGGGAAATGGAGAGGTCCGTGATCAAGAGCACAAAAGTTTTGCAAAACTATGCACCATTTGTTGCTGGGTCTCTTCATTTAATCTAGTTTGTGGTGTCCTTTCGACATATAAGCAAGACGTGGTCATGCTGCTCAATACTCAAAACCTTGCTCGAACTTCCACTCAAAGCTTCAAAACCTAAAATATACAAATCTCACTTCATTGAAACAAACCAAACACCAAAGAGTAAACAAAGTCTATAGGCTTCATGAAGCAAAGCATAGTAAAGCTCCTGAGAGGTCTCAACGATGGGTTTCAACTCCGAGTCCTGAGGCACAATCGACTTGGCTCTGCACTATCGTATTTTCAGCATGTTCCAATCTCTTCCGAAATTGACATACTCAATTATCATCCTTTTGCTTTATTTGTCCAAGTTCTTTTGCGTTTTGTCGATGTCGGTCTTCTTGGTCAGTCACTGTGCTTCGTGTTCACGTTTTGTTGGCCTCAGTTCTCAAGCTGTCAGCCAAGATGCTCTGGTCTTGCGCCGCAGGAGACGTTGTGGGCAACGTCCACCCAAAAGTGCTAAGACCACCAAACCCACCAGCAGTCCACCTCAGAGCTGCAAAAGCTCCACTTAAGCGTTAATATTTTAAGTCTTTAAGTAAGCTGCCGGAAGTTCGCCAAGGTACGAGGAGCAAAGACGAAAAATGTCACAGCTGCTCCTCCAGAGAGCACATGTTCAAGCAGCCAGGAAGGCAAAATCTACAGCATTTTTTGGGACAACTAGGAGGCTTATGTTCTCGGGCAGCTGAAGGTCAAGCACAGTTTACTTATGGTTTCAATCAGGTACTTACTAATTATACGGTGTATCGATAAAGGAACGACTCGCGAAAGGCCAAAGCCCCAGCATTTTCTGCCCCAGTCTCCTAGCAGCAGCAGCCACCGTTGCACGTCAGGTTGACTTCTCATGGCTCGACATCAAATGGATGCTGGATGCTCTCGTTGTGGGAAAGGTCTACTAACTATATCAAGTCCGACCAGATCAATCTGCACTGTTCCTCACTGACTGATGTTCTGCAGACTAAGGAAGTCCCTGGATGATGGCCTTAAGAATTCCCTCCGGCAATGGGTAATCGCTCTTGCGTTAATAAAGTTTATACTCAACTTGTGATCCAATCACTGACGATCGCAGCAAGCCCAGCCCGCGCAAACAACCCAACAACTCACCATTTGAAGGCCTTTCTCACTGTGTTGTCGCTCAGCTTGATGCATCACGTGAGCATAACTAACACAAGGCAGTTTCGTTGCACAAAGCACCTTGACAAAAATTCTGCAAAGGCCCTGTTGCAAAAGAACCGGTGACCTGGATGTAATTTGTTCTTGACTCATTTCAAGCGAGGAGCCAGGTGTGGTACGATTTGCGGGCTCAGCCAGCGCAAGACATCCATCATTTTGCCTTAGGCCATATTATCACGAGGTACAGTAGTCTCTCGACCTATGACAAGGATGTGGAAAAATATACAATGAAAAGCAGCACCTTAAGACTGACTTGAACCTGGACCCAGCTAGATACATGTAAGCAGTGTCACTCGTGTCCTCCTTGTCACCCAGTGGCCAAACTGCCCAGGATCTTCTGCGTTCAAATGGTTCATGACCTGATCAACGAGCATTTTCGATGTTGCACATAACAACAGCCTCCAACCTAGTAACCATGGCCTCCAACCTATCAAGGTTGCGTCCTCACGTGCATATCTATGCAACCGCCGAACGGCTTCGCGGGCCTGGTGCCTCAGCGCCATCTTCAACGTGGAGGCGGGGGCCTCAGCCAGATCCTCACGGAGGAAATAGAGCAAGTCCTGACGTCGAACCGAGAGCTGGCAGTTGCAACAGATTTCGCCTGACTGCTCAAACTGATGCATTGGCATCATGATGGATACTAATGGATACCCAAGAATATCCGAATGTCGATTTGGACAAAGCCTCCAAAGGCTGAATCTGTTCTGGCACAGGATCAAGCCCTGAACCCGTCCTCGGTTTTCCAAGGCCCAGGCTCAACCTGATAACCATCATCGCATCGACCACCCCGTGGCTCAACATCAAACATCCAGTAAAATTGAAACCTGTTGGAACCACCAACTCACTCCCTGCAACTTTATGAAGGCGTCCTTAGGCGGCTGTCCAACGACCAGGTATTATTTGTATGCCATTGAGACCAATCACTGGGATGTTGGCACGCCTCTGTGCACTTTTCTGTAAATACTCAAGCAGAGGTGTCAAGAATCATCAGAACATGAGACTGACCGAAAGAGAAACGGCAACCACGTCGTGCTTTTGGGCCTGGCACGAACTCTCAAAAAAGAGGTTACATGGAAAGAGAAGGCAAATGAAAGAAGACAAGGAAACACAAAGCACGCGGGTGCATGGGTGTGTGTGTGTACCAAATATATACTGGTAATATTTAATACACCCAAATCACCAAACTGACCATGGGACGGATTGACCGATAACCTGGTGCGGAAGTGCCTCGATGGCATCGAATAGGCGTTGGATGAGCTGAAGCGCTTGATCCAAATCCTGCGAAGCCATCGCTTCCATTGCCTCGATCACCTTCTGTTGCCGCGCAATAGCTCCTCAGGCATAGTGTGGCAAACTTCCAAGACCAAACATGATGCCTTCCTCGATAAACAACCACATAGATGTGAAAGAATACATTAACATACATTAACCACGAAACAAGAACATGCACTTTGTTTCAAACCATGATGAAGATGCTACCTGTTTGCCTCATCAAAGAGTCGCATGACTGACCTCGAAGCCCTCGCCTGGCTCCGGAGGACTTCTGGCGATGGGTTTCCGCACCCGAAGCTCCTGTGGGATGAGAACCGAGGACGGTCGATCAAGTTTCTCTTCTTGTTACTACTAGTAAGGCACTTGTTACTACTAGCGTGGCACTTGTTTCTAATAGCTTCTTGTTATTGGTAAGAATGCAGTCAGTCAAGAAATTAAAAGACTCTTCCTAGCTTTCTTGATTCAAAAGCTAGTGCAGCATAATGCAAAGGCACCAAAGTCACCTGCGTCTCTTCATGGTAATAGTAGAAGCTTCGCCTTGCAGAGCAACGAACTTCCTGCAGCGTTCGTCTTGTGGATCAATCAACTCAGGTGGCAGTCACCGATCATTTTGGCCCTAGGTTTCGTGTATTCAGATTCATTCAGCTTTCTCTCTCTCTCTCTCTCTCGTGTTCTCCTCCTTCGTTGGAGGGCTGCAATTTTGTTGAGGCTGTGGTCGGCTCAGCAGGAGGTCCCAAGGGTCTGCTGTCACCTCATCTGCCAATCCTTTTAGCGTGTGTTTGAGCGCGTTTTCTTTGAAGGGTTTGCTTGGTGAATCAATGGCGTCTGAATTGAACATGTTTGTCACTGCATCTTTGACCTCCAAGCGTCCACCAGTTGCAAGACCACCTGGTTCTCATAGAGCTCCCCAAGGACCTCTTCGAAGTGACAACATCGACTATGTATGCGTCGACGTGTATTAGGGGGCTCCTGGCCGTACTACTAGGAGCAAGGACGCTACTAGGGGCTCCTCGCATCGCTACTATAGGAACAATAAAGCTATTAGCTTATTGTCACTAGTAGCGTCCTTGTTACTATTAGTAAGGCACTTGTTACTACTAGCGATGCACTTGTTTCTAATAGCTTCTAATGCTACTTTGTGTCCCAAAGACGTGGGTCGGTGAAGTCCTGTTGACCCCTTCGCCGCTGGAGGAGCATTCGCCTCGGTGTCCAAGATTTCTCGGTCTTCGATCAGGCGTTGCCAGCATGGCGCCCACGTCTTTGACTGCCGCCAAATAGCTTCCTTCAACTCAAAGACCTCGAACGGCAAAATGCGCGCGGTTCTAGAGCGCACATGCTCAAAAGAGCGCTCTTATCACGTGCTCTGATGGGTGAGTTGACTTCTATATAATGCCAAGAAGCTGTTTGGGTTGTTGGCACCAGGCTTTCCAGCACAACCTGACAGATTCCGCAGTGTGAAACCTTCGACCCTGCCTCAGCAATTCATATATGGTTGTGTAGTATGCAAATGTAAATGTATGTAATCTCTTGCGGTCAAGGTAACCATCTCGTCCACAAGTTCTATTTGGTTCTCTCGTGATCCTTCCGATGCCCATCGTATCGCTTCAAGCTGGAGAGCGCGACGGAAGCTGTTTGCAGCACCAGGATCGACAATGGCCCAACAATTTGGCTATTGATCGAATCCAAGCAAATATACGAGAGACTGAGGTGAAGCTTCAAGTGTAGAGCAGGAAAACACACTGGGGGATTACAAGCTGCATTATCATGGAACTCGTCAAAAGCTTCAACAAACAAAGGAACTGGGCGATTGCCAACGGAGAGTGAAATCAGATCGCCTGAAACCCAGGACCCTCAGGACCCTCTTTGGTTCTGAGAAGAATTTCGGAGCCGAAGACCTCGGCTTCCACGGGTGGTATGATGAACTTACCATTAGCTGATTGTCAGGCTTTCCAGGCAGATTTTCATGTTCATGTGCCAAAAGCATTGCTTGGGATGAACCCCAGGTCCCGCCTCCCCGTCCAGTGCGATGACTTGTACCGTCAGCATTTTGGGGGCAAGCACCATCTCGTCATTCCATGGCAGCTTCACGCAGAGCTCGAACCCAATCAAGAAGGAAGGTGCTCGAATCAGCACAACGAGGTGGGCAGTTTTGCGTCGCTTTGGGCTATGTAAAAGTGCTAGAAGTGTCAACAAAACTGTAGAACGACCTTTCTGCGATTCAGAACTTGGGATAACTCGGGCTGTTGTTAGGCTGGAAGTTTCGATCAGTTGTCTGGAAGCTGAAGCTCAACGGAGACAAGCGAGGCAAGGTCCACTGAAGACTGCAACAGAAGCTCTGTAATTTGAACAAGGGCAAGAATGCCGGCATCATCGCCAGTAGGTTGGAAGCCATCGCAAGTAGGTTGGAGGCCATCACTATTAGATTGGAGGCCATTGCTTCCAGGGGCAAGAATGCTGGCATAGTATTGCCTGAGACTAGCTCAGCTTCACTCACCCATGGAAGCCGTGACTGAGAACTGAGGAGAGCACCAAGGCCTGGGCGTGGGAACGTTCAAAGGCGACGTATGGCAACGTGCATGAAGACAATGTTCAAAATGGCCTCCAGCCTAAGAGCGATGGTCTCCACCCTAGTAGCAATGGCCTCCACCCTAGTAGCGGCTAAGAGCGATGGCCTCCATGTTCCATGAGGTTCAGTCCTGATTTGGGATGAGCTTGACCACTAATCCCAGCGCAGCCAAGGTATTCATCCACCTTCGACAACGGGTGACAGGGAAGCATCCAAGCTGCAAACAGCTTTCAACACAATAGCGAGTCCAGATAGTCCAGATGCATCAGGCATTGAGTTGCAGTTGCCGTGAGATGCTGAAGATCCCCGAGGCCCAGGCCAAAGGTCAGGCAATGGCACCAAGCTCCGATCCAAACCTTGGGACACCATGAAAGCTCACCATTGGCATCTGGCTTCGTCACCAAAGGCGAAGTCCAAAAATTGGTCTGATCAAGTTAAAAGAAGTTAAACGGTAAGCGGAGAAACTACGAGACGCTCACTTCTGTGTGCTTTCATCGAACTTTTGAAGTAATTTACTTGGGATGATATTGTGGCTTCGTGTGCTGCCAGTGCCCTCTCCGTGCCCCATCAGATCATTATCAACATCAAGGAACCAATGTTGCGCACGGCACTTGGCTGTGCTGCGTCTCCAAAGAGCATGTACCTGCAACATCGGCTGCGAGAGTGTGCTGACACTGAATGTGAAGCGCAATGCATCGGCCGTGTATCTCACCCAGGGACAGCAATGAGGAGATACACCACACAAGCGCCAGCATATGCCTGGCTTGCAAAGGGCAAAGTAACGCAGTGGCACATGAACACAAAACAAAAGATGGACCTCCAGGGGTCTCTTTTCAATCCCTTTGCACCCCCACACAAGTGCAACTTCTGCAG